CTCTGCTCCACCACCGCCTCCCCACGCCGTGCCGCCAGCGCAGGCGACTGGCCCTCCTTTGCATTCGTTAGGCCCCGCAGCGCGCTGCCGTCCGCTCCCTTGAGAGGCGACAAAGTGCCCCGGCCTCCAGAGCGATGCCCTTCGGAGGACGGAGGCAGGCGCCCGGGGACCGTCAAATATTGGCGCGTTCGACGCCACTCCCTCAAACGAGGCTGTTCATAGCAGCAATTTCAAGATCCTGCCTCGCAAATAGAAGTGACTGGAAGAATACTAACTATAAACAAAAATTATAAGCAAGGCTCGGACTCTAATGGCCTAAAAATTCTTTGAAAATGACTTAAAATGAGAGGAAAGTGATCTTCGAAATAACTTGAAAATAGGGGGAAATGGCGTAATGTTTTAAAAAATACTCAAAAATTTGTATGAAAATATTTATTTATGCAGTGAATTTCATAATTTTGAAATACAATGTATTTATCCAATCTTCTGTGGGTTTTTAGAAGGTCAAGAAGAAAGTCCGTGTAAGTTTGATTGTTCAAAAAACAGAGTCAGTGCAGTAGTGATTTTCGTCATGAACTTATGATACAAAAAAAACTGTTAAAATAAAACAAAATGCGTGTACATGACACAAGTCTCGAAAATGATCTGAAAATTGAAAAATAGCTTAAAATGACAAATAATGACTGAAATACAGTTCATTTCTATTACCGACATGTGATGAACACTAATTTACAATTTAGCTACGTCTGGAATTCACCAATGAAAAGATGACATGTCATCAGAATCTTAGCCCTGATGATACGAAAGAAATGCTTAGCGAGAATTATGCAGAAAATTCTCGATAATTCCAACGTTCCTTATCTACATTTTGTACTACCTTTCACCTTCTCTATAAACATGATGTTGTGTAATCTGAAAGTCGACAAGTCGAAATATTAGGTAACTCGAGCGTTTCTTTTGCCAGTCAAATTTTAGGTATCTCACTTCTACTGTAAAAGTAAACATAACCTTTTAATGCTATTCTGGGAAGAGGTCCCAAATAATAAATTGCTTACTAGGCAATTGAGGATTGAGAATTTATCATTACGTCCTAGAGTTCAGTTATGCAAATCCCTTATTGAGGAACCTGCAATATTTATTCAGCAGTATTTATAAGAAAATATATCTGAAAATGTATAAATGTTTGTTTTTTTCATGTGCCTGCTAAAAAAAATATTTGGAACAGAACTGCTTCATTGGATATCAACTTCAATGCAAGCAATTTAAGAGCCTAAGAAATCGAGCATTTATGAAAGTGATTGCAAAGTCACGCTACGTTGAGGCAATTCCATGAAACGGTGCAATTCGGTGGCCAGCGCATCTTCTTTAACATTTTCCGTTGTGGAATATCAATAGTGAAGGCAATTCCGTAACGAGAAGGCCAGATCAATATTGTCAAACTGATGGCCCGTGGGCCGCATACGGCCTGCGATGCCTTTATTGTGGCCTGCGAAAGGAAATCAAAGTCCGTTGCATCTATGTCGGACGAGAACATAGTGCCCGTCGGAATCAACACCCGCGCAATGTAAAATAGAATAAGTTTAGATTTAAGATTTTTTCTAGTGAATTTAGAAATTCAGAAATTCAAAAGCATTCTAATATGGTTGCGTAGCGTAAAATAGTACTGCGTTGGACATGTAACGGCCTGATATCACGTATTGTTCCACCCCACCCCACCCTCCGTTTCTGAGCAGCCGGGCAGACTGTCGGGATTGGCAGTACGGGGAAGTCACGTGGGGATCGACCGAGCAATGGAAATAAGGCCCGCAACCATATTAAAGGTTGTGGCCCCTGAGGCTTTGCAAGTTGGACACCGCTGTTCCAGATCGTTATGAACTAGTTAAAATATGACGCTGCCGGCGGAGACTTCCCATATCGCGAACTCGATCCCCCAAAGCCAAGACATACGCCGGAGACGTGTCCGGAAGTCGTGACAAAGGAGCGCGGGCGAGCGCAGAGCTCAGCGGCGGTGCCGGAGCTGGTGGCGGCGAAGATAGCGGTTCCAGCCCCTGCCGCAACGGCCGACAGTGCGCCACTATGGCGTGGATTGGCGTATAAGCGGGCGAAAATATATTCCTTCGTAGTTGCATGTTGAAGGCGATGGGAGAATTACTCCAGCATCATGTAGTTCTAGAAATCGTCAACGAGGGCTTCGAGATGCTCGCTTGTTGTCGGTCAGAGGACCTTTCGTAAAGAGAAAAGTATATACGCACGCACACACTACAGTAGCTGTTGCTTGAAAGACCAAGAGGTTGAAGGTCCGATTACAAACGGTATTCGATATTCGACAGGAGTTAAATGGGACGAAACCCATCTCAGCCTTTCTTGGAACGGCTGCTCAGAGCGGTGGTGGTTTGAACTGAATTTCAAGAACACGCTTGGGCAGTTCCCGAATCAACGGGTCGCGGATGACGTATGATCAGACCTTTCTTCTTTCCGCCCTTTCTTTCTTACTTTTTTCTTTCATTCTTTCCTTAAGATTTTAATTCTACTACTCTGCGTTTACAATTAATGGGAAGTCAAAAAATACAGTTTTATATCATTAACAAAGACTGAGAAATGAGGGATCTATATTCATCTGTAATTATTAACGCCCGGCTTCATAAAAATTCCCTACATTGCGGCCTATCTACCAGTAATGGGCAAGAAAGAATACGAAATAATTTTGAACAAAAATAGCTGGTTCGTCCGAATGACCGAGATCGTTAAGGCAGTAGTGCCGTAGCGATTTCGGACCGAAGGATCGCTGGTTCGGGGCATGTTCGCCCTTTTACCCCTCACCATCTGTATTTCACATCATACTCTCAACCATATCGCTAATCTGTAGTGGTCGCTAATGATGCGACCTTGCAAAAATGGCTGTGTCTTTTTCCGTGCAGGTGTGCTGGAAGCGCGTGGATCGTGGTTTTGAAGAGCTGGCTTGTGCCCGGTGTTCACGCGCTGAGGCGAGCGCTGCGCCGCCAGACGCGCGGGGCTTCCTGGAAGCGGTGATTCACGCAGTCGCCGGGCGGCGTTCCTGAGCGGCGCGGCGAGCTGCCTCGAGACGGGAGGTTCTCTTCCTAAAACGTCTCGGAACTCACGCCCCGACGCCGTCGGACGCTCGCTTCGGGGCGCGTACCGTTACCGGGGGCTTTAGTCTTGACACCACCGGTGTTCCCGGCGAGAGACCTGTATGGAATCTCAATTTCTGGTTATATGCGATGGGCGTACGCCTTGCGTGACTGAGACGGTTTTGTAAAGAGCTGCTTTCGACTCATTTTATGCAAAGGTCGATAAAGATTTGAAATAAATGTTCCTTGTGTTTTAAGTGGCTTACGACAACCTATCAATTTTTCAGTCTGTATTTATGAAATGCATTCTTTGTTACATCCCAATATACTAGGATTTATTTAACAGTGCACATGTCATAAATCAGCTGTTCACGGTTTCATCCAATCGGGAGCTTGAACGTTCCCATAGTGACGTTACTGTGGCGACATTTAAGCTTCCGATTGGATGAAATCGCAACAGTTAATTTACGTCAAGCGCATGACTAAATAAATCGTACTATACGTGTGGTAAAAATATTTACCAACTAATTAATTATGGATATAACTCGAGATCCATAGAGCTCAATGAACTATAGACATTATAATGCGATGAAGGATAAACGTTGGACCGCCAATATCTTTGTAATGGTGTCATGTAATAAAAGTACTCAATCCATACGTTGCACGAAAAATATGTTGGTAATCGAATGAATCTCCATCTTCCATCAATTCTGTGAACTTTAAATCTATCGTAAAATCCATGGGGTATTTGAGATGAAAAAACATTATATAAGAAGAAACTTTACAACGGAAGATTGTCTATTTCGTTTCTCTTCACAAATTTACATGTGAGAAAAGGTTGAATTTACACCGTGTTACTTCTTGTTGACTCAACAGATGCGGAAAGAACGACCTCGCATCCGACTCTGGAGTTTTAGAAAGCGCGTATTTCATGCATTAGAGGCGCTCCGTAAGCCACGCGCAGAAAAAGTTCATAGCTATTCTGGTTCGCTATCTTGCAGCAGTGGTTTCGACGCTAAAAATAAAATATTCCGCTCTTACGCTTCCTTATCAGACCGAGAAAGCTCAACGGTTTAGACTTCTCTCTTCCCCCAACAAGAGAATAACACAATTGACACAATTTCAGAGTTAGGATAGATAGAGATAGGTCGACCTCGACGGGAGGGACGGCTCCAGACGATCATTTTGGAGAGAGCCATAATAGGTTTTAGTTAAATATTAAATATTTATTATTACATTGTTTATTATTTTTGTAGTGTGTATATGATACTATACAATATTATTTTTTATATAATTACATAATTCGAACATAGATAAATATATAAATCAATTTTAGCAATTAAAAAACCTAAAAAAACGTTTTTTTCTCTAGGTCTTCTTTTTTTGGGGTGGAGGGGAAGGAGCATGCCCCCCCCCCTCCCTGAATCCGCCACTGCTCGGCGGGACGTGAGAGTAAGAATGCGAAATGCTAGAAAGTGGCGTTAGAATGCGCTATAGAATACGTTGTAAGATATGTTTGAAACAATTGTCACATGTTGTTGTGCTACAAGCAGATTAGATGAAGGAAAAAATAAATATTTTTTTTAAGCTGCAAAATCGAACCTGATGGATTTTATGTTTCGATGAGATCATTGCATTTTTAAGCCCAAGTAGCTCAAAGGATGAAAATGAATGAAAAAAATAAATCAATCGTTCATTGGCAAAAACGGTTACGTATGAAATTGTTGCATTAAAAGCAAATAATCCACGATTCTTTATTTATCAATGCGGATAGCTGAAAAATAAGTTTATTTATCAGTATATTGTAATTGTGAAGTTTATTTTGAAGTTTATTTATCAGTATATTTTAATTGTGAAGTTTATTTTGAAGTTTATTTCTCAGCACGGATAGCCTTTCCGTAAGCACTGTCGATGTGCCAGCTTTCTTCCCCGCCGGGTGTTGTGGGGCGCCCGTCCTCCGCGGGTGAAGTGTCGTCCTGCGGCGGAGGCCCACTTCGCATTCCGACGGGGCCGTGCTCAACCTCAGCACGGCGCTCGGCGCTCGCCGGCGAAAGGTCTCGAGTTCGCGGCGGTGACGTCACGCCTAAGCGCGGCGCTGACGTCGCCGCGCTGACCTCAGGCGCGGCCGCGCGCAGGTGACGTCGTCGCCCCCCGTTAGCCACCGCCCGAGCGCCTCGGAACCCTCGCGACGAACGGGCCGCCGAATAATTGCGGGACGGGGCTACGTCACGGGGCGAATGAGTGGTGACCGGGGAAAAGGGGCATATCCGTAACTACAGTACCGGCGGAGTGTAAGCGACTCTGACCGTTCTCTCTCCACGAGCTTGCGGTACGTCATGGTCATGTGACCTGCTCTGAAGCAATCCGCTAGCGAGGATTTTAATGCGTGAGAAATCGGTTTGCGAGGATTTGATTGCCAGGGTTCAGCGTTGCCGCTCTTCTTGACTCACACAAAGTTGCGATGGCGACAAGGTTCGGCTTTAGTGAAAGTTATGAACATGAAATCAAGTCGTGTGATTGTTGGTAAGAGGTAAGGTATCATGGTGCCATGTGCGTAGTATCATTAATCATATAATTTTCATGTATCATTGTCTGTCTGTGGTGCCATATGCGTAGTAATGTGTGGCAACAGGGCATTGAACTGTCAGTCGTTTAACGCTGCCGGTATTGCAGCTGCAACAGCACACATTTTCTTGCAATATTTGTAACTTTTGCAATTTTCAAAAATTCAGGGAGTTCAAAGAACGTTATCCCTGTGTTTTTGCAAGTGTACTTCGCACTATCGGAACCAAAATAAAGAGAAAAATTTGGAGTAACTTTTGATAAAATTATGATCTTTAAATTACATTTCTTTCTTGCACAGTTACGCAAAAACTATTCAGACATTCAAAAAAGATGTACATATGATAATTTAATAACCCAACACTAAAAAAGAGTTTTATAAACAAAATTTCTTATCATTAATATTGTAGTTCTAAGAAGATGCCGAGAAATGTTTAACTTTTGCAGTTTTCAAAAATTCAGAGTTAAACGTCCTGTACCCGTTTGTATAAGCTTTCGTTCCTGTATATGAGAAAAAAAGAGAAAATGTGCAACCAGTTTTCTGAAATTTTGAAACTGTCCTCAGGCTTCATTTTAAAAATTTCCCAAATCGAAATATATCCGTTTTAAACTCAAGGGTCCGCGTCAATAGCCTGAAAGGGCAATATTAATTTTGATGAAAATCCCGCCTGCAGTTTAGCCGCCAACGTTGACGGACGGACGAACAAACGGACGGACGTTTTAGAGAACGTTATTTAATGTGCATGGGAAGTTATTTAATACATATATTAACTTTCTCGATTCCATGGCTCTATCATACGGGATTTAGGTCGAAAAATCGACGTTTTTTTGATGCAGCGTTATAATACTTTCTCTATACTACGTAATTTACATGCGAGGATAAAAATGTATCGATTTATCCTTCTTAAAGATGAAGGAAATTTCCTCGGACGTTGATGGAGGATAGCGCGTTTTATCTTCTGCGCATGCGCAGTTAAAGTGTCACATCTCTTCATTGCATCTGTGCATGCGCAGAAGATCGATAGTGCTGTGAGCTATGGCGTGCACAAACTCCCTATTGTCAGGCACTGAAGCAAAACCTCGTTTCTACTCTGCTTTCGCCCCCGCTCCCTCTCCGATCATTTCCAACACCGGTATCGAGGGATATCTGCGAATTCGGTTATCTTTCGAGTGTTGCTTAATTCCTTTCGTAGCTGTTCCAAGCCTCGTTCCAGCCTCTGGTGACAAACTTCGATAAGCGAAGACTTCTGGTCAAACGGATTGGGATTTACTTTCCCTTGATAGTTACAGAGAAAGGGAAGGGGTGCAAGCATTTTTACAATTAGCTGAAATATGCGACCGCATCGGTCTGCGTAGCAAAACTGCAATTTCAGCAATCCTTCTATTCGTAGGTGCCCTTTAAAGCCTCAGTTCGGAAAGTCGATATTAGCGTCGTGCAATTAACTTTCAAAAATACGTTTGCGTTTCTGGCATTATTTCTTGCCCTTCACTACTTAAAAAGTTGAGTTATGTCACTGCTACTTCGCGCTCTTTGCCTGGCTAACATGGTTTTTCGCAACTTCGACGTGTGACGAACATCCACTAAATAACATATTTCAATGGATGTTATAAGTAAGAATGTGATTGGTAACGTTTTTGCAAGGCACTGGAGCATAAACTTGGAAACGTGCAAAGTCCATATTGAAATATGCATGTTCACGGTAGAGTGATGAACTTGTGTCTGTTCTGTAGTGTGTGTTACATTCTTATTTTACTCGAACCATTATTGCCAGGTGACATGTTTACATCCAAGTGTCGGTGAATTCCTGCCTAGCTTCACCGAACAATTACAAATGGGTGAATGATGATCCGAGTGAATTGCAGTTGCCTTCCCCAAAAGTGTACTCCAAAACTGTCATACATGGATCTCGAACCAACAACTCCTAACGTTTCTCACAGAGCAGATGCAGTTGCAAGCGAGTATTTTAGGCCGTCAATATATCCACGATACGATGAACACATACGAATGTCGAAATTATATTTGTGTAAGCACTATTGAAGTGTCCAAATGATTTATGTAGATCCGTTTCTATTCCTTTGGTATAATATTGTATTTTTGTTTGGTATATAATTTGGTATATAATTTTATTTTTGTTTTTGTTCCAGGTAATTAATTCCATTGCTGCTTGTGGTCTGCGGGATGAATCATAGCTTGTAAATGAGCATCACCTTCTTGAATTCTATAAACGGTGAAGTACATTTTCTTATTACATTTGGTAGTACGTGGACAGTTTACCATGCTTTTCAGATTTATAACAGGCTTTTGATCATTAGGGCCCGAATTCGTAGGTTTATCGTATTTTATTCAGTAGTTACTGAATCAAATATGTGAAGCCTAGAGGTCCTAAAATGGTCAAAATGAGTTATAATCGTAAAAAGGCTAAATCAGGTGACCAAATCAGACTAAAGTGACTTAGGGTGAAAAATAAAATCTACTTTTTGTCAATAAATTAATCTATATTATTTTTCAATTATCGAATTAGATAATCCCAGTTTCGTTAATTTTCTTTATAGTTTTTTTTACTTTCTTTCGTTAGCTGAATCTCAATTAAGTAGTAACAATAGATACAAGTTTCAAATTAATTGCCCCCCCCCCTCCCGTGAACTTCAATGGCTTCTAATTTCGTTTTAAAAACATCGATTTTTTTCTGTCGATGTTTTATAAATATCGATGTATTTTTAAAACCTCGATGTTTTAGTTTTGAGCTTCGATGTTTGGAAATATCGATGTTGGCGATGTCGCATCCGTAATGCAAGGACCTCCTCCATGGTTGTGGGAGTTAACCTGACGCACGCGGTACCACACTGAGGGTAGAGAGTGAAAATGTTCCTCCGTGTTGTCGCTGGGACTCGCCAGCTGCGTTGCGTGCTCTGCGTGCTCTGCGGCACGGGCGTGACAGCCCCTGCGTGCGCCTTGCCTCTTCTCGCTCAGTCCCGCCCCCACCGCCTCGCTGCAGATGTCAGCCGGCTTGGTGAGTAATGTAATCTACAGGCTACACGCCGGGGCACGCTTTTATTCAGCGTCACGCTCTGTCGCCCCGCCGTCTGTCGCAACGGGGAAGCCCGTGCATTATAGGCGTACTCAGACCTCACGATTCGTCCAGAACAGAGACCTTGGCACAGCTTGCGTTCATCCGCACGCCGCACCGATCTCTGCTGACCTCTGGCTACTTTTCTAAGAAAAACGTACCGCCGTGCTCACGACAAACTCCTGCTCCGAACATCCTGCAAGTCAGAGTCCCTCGCCCGCCGTCGCCAGAGATGACCAGACCTCCCAGCCCTCGGCAATGAGCGGGCGGCCGGCACCTGCTCTTCGTCCCGCCCTGCTACTGTGGGATATTCTTGGAAAACTGTTGCGCGGCCAGCCGAAGTGCATTCTCGCAGTCAATCTGATATCTGGACACTTCTTGTCCTGTTATGCGAGAAAAAAGACAGCGGGAAGGCCGATAACACGAGAATGGGCAAGACGCGCTTATGTCTTCACGTTTGCTCTTTATTACGTCTCCTTACAAGCACCCATCGAAGGAAAAGACAGAATTCTGCATAGTGAGAAATTCTTAGCCCTGCTAAAAGCTTACATACATTTTACTCCAGTTGAACATTCTATTTATTTATTTTGTAAAATTTGAAATGTATTGAAATTGAAAAAAAGGAGATATTTTTTCTCTTTCTGCAAGAAGCAACCCCTGGTGAGAACCGCGGCTAGGTATCTGCAAACGGCGAAACAACCTCGGGGTCCTCCGGTCTAAAACCGGAGCACTGGTGGCACACTTCGGCTGTGGCGGCAGAGAAATGCGTATAACGCAGACCTAGCGCTTACTCATATCTCGACAGATTCACCCGACGTTCACCGCCGTATTTATCTGCGTGTTTTTCCTTCAACGTCGTTCATTTTTTATTATCTGAGTGAGTGAATCGGAATATAGTCCCGCGACGCAGGCGCGCGCGAAGTAATATTCAAGTTCTTACAGGCAATCGCCGCCACTTCGGCTTTATATTACGCTCACGAGCGTGTTCTGGCGCCCTTTTAAATTCACAACAGGTGTTGTACGCTCTATTCTTGGTTTCACGGAGCACCTAAGTAAAGAGCCTCACATAGGTCCATATAAACCGATCGGGACAGACTTCTCTTTTCTCGGCGCTCTTAACATTTGCGCCTTTCGTGGTTGTGGAACGTCAGAGATGCGCTGTTTGAATCTGAGTTTGTGACATCTTTTGGACATTTCTTGAGGTTAGATTACTTTTATTGTCGGTTCATTCAATGAAAACTATCAAGCTCTTTACCCCTCGCATGTTTCGCTTCTCAGTAGAAATAGCTTTCACAATACATTCTTTTTGGAATACTCTTGCTACAGTTTTTGCATATTTCACTGATGCGATTTCATAACGTATTGTCTATTTATCGTTGGGAAACTATGACGGCTTCACTTAGACACTTGAAGGTAACGCTATCTCTTTTTCCTTTCACATCTTGCAGCGCTAAGCATAAATCTTTAACGTTCTCTCCAGTCAGTAGACAGCTTTCTCTATGCACTACCTTTCTTTTTGTCATGACAATTGCCCGATCTTCATTCTTATCTCAACTACGCCATCTTGCCATTCACCGTTGTTCCTCGTAACTCTTTTTGTTCTTCAGACCATCTGTGCTTCCATACCCAGGGGGATCTAAAGTCTTGTCACCGAGCTTGAGTAGGATAATATTATTTTCATTAGTTTGATTGTTCCTCTATACATGTCTTTTTTTAATGTCTAACTGCTTAAAAAAGAGTAGCGTATCACTCTACGATTCATTGCATACGAATCAAGGAGTACAATCGCTATTGTTCGTGTTCGAGCGCCTCACAATCTCGCGGAATAGTAACACTTATCCGTAGTTCGCACGCCAAATTTAAGTCACTGTTACTTACTATTTGCTAGTGAAGACAACTAGGAAGCACGTCATTGATGTAATGCCAGATGCTTTCCCCAAAATCCTTATCCGCATCACGCGTTCAACAGCATAGTGCGACGCGTTCAGTTCGACATGCTTCCAACTTCTATCCTGAGTTGCTCATATCGACCCTTACTACAGTGGTCCAGCTGCGATAGAGAACAAAGAGCACATCATGGCATCCTGCGGTGTGCAGTTTGTGCTACTCATGTTGTAGTGAACATTAACTGCTCGACGATCTATATTGTTAGAGGCTACATAATCAGTTTCTACGACTCATAAGAATCTGGAGAGCGTCTTATATAATTTTAAAAAAAAATTCGTGGGTAGAAACTTATCGTAAAACATTGTGTTGATATAAATATCAATTAAATTGAATTACATTAGGAGATGAGTTCTATGTCTAATTGATTGTAAAGTATCCGTATAAGAAAAGTTCCATAATTTGAACGCCACTTGGCTTCAACCATGAATAATATTTATATAAAGCTGAAGCTTTAAGAGTTATATATATGTAGCATTATAAGTATAATTGCAAATACTTCATGTTATACATGTGAATAAAGTTAGAAATAGTAACTATAAACATCATATATTAATGGAGTTTAAAGAATAATAGATTATAATATGGATTTTGAATATGTATAACAATTTAATCTTCTGTCTGTAGGTGGAAACATATGCATCAATAGAATGTAATCATATGTCTTAGAATTCATGAGCGGTTTGAATTTATGACTGCTGATAAATAGTTTCTTACACGTTATCCATAGACTATAACTGTTCTGATCGTAAAGAAAAATCTATTTCGAAATCTATACGCAGAGGCCCTTTCAATATTCCCTTCCTCTTCAACCTTGGGTGGGCATTCTTTAAGTGGCGATTTTGGCTGGTTCCCTTGGGTTGCGACCCTTCGGCACTTTCCGTTCTCCTCTGATGGCTTCGCTAGTCGTTATGCTCGACGACTCGACCTTGGCCCATTCCGTAGTAGCTAACCCACCCTCGGGTTCGTGGTGCCCAGCAGGCGGTGGCGGGGGCTGGCCCGGAGTGTGTGCTTGGGGTGCGTGGCTCGGGTAAGGCCTTGGTTAGGGTCGGCAGAGCCGGGGGAGGAGCGGCCAGTCGGAGGGACGCAGAGCTGGAGGGTCGGGTGGGGGACACGTGGTTGGTGGAGCGGCGGACGGCGTGAGCGAAGGGGGAGGGGGCGGGATATGACGCGGGTTGGGTGAGATCTCGGGAGAGGGGGCGGGGGATGGAAGGGGGGGGGGAGGAACGGGTGTGGAGCGGGGCGCGCCGTGGCGGGGCGGGGAACGGGTAGCGTCAAGTGATGACGTTCGCACCGCAGGCAGAGACCGCATTGTTGGTTGGCGGCGCCGACAGCTGTGTCGCTCGTCACAGGGTCGTGGATGTGGAATAATTGCCGAGTAATTAATGAAATCGGAGGGGACATTTGAATCTCGTCTGTGGTTGACAGGTGATAAATACTGCGTTTGTAACAAATGAATAGATTTTTGAGGAAATGTTAGACTGTCATAGTGCTTTCATTATTCGTTCTGTAATTCGTTCCTAGACGAGGTGTTATTGAATCTAAAAATATGGTTGAAACGTCAATTTCAAAGTGATGAACAGATTCATGAATTCATATCAACATGAATTGGATTTTCATTTTGCAAATATGTTAATCTCTTGGGTAAAATTATTTATATTTCTTGTGACAAATTCTGTATTACTCTACTGAATTTAGCTACTTGATAATTAACGGAAACATGTTTGGTTTATTCGGGTTCTCTGTATACCTGCGTCGCCTCTGTTTATTTTTATACTTTTTATTTTACTCCTGGCGTCCATAGATGTGTTTTGTCTTTATTACTTTCTACTAAAACTCACAAATTTCTTCGTAGGCTCAAAATTTCACAAGTAGATGAGTGTTATGAGGGATTTAATTAAGTAGTTTGTAGAAAAGAAGAAAATGTCAAAATTCAAACTTTCCTGAGAGAGAAATTTAAACTAACCGATTATGTCAGATGCAAGTACTTTTATTTTGGAATGCCCTAAGAAAAAGAGTTGATCGGGATAGCCGAGACCGCTAAGGCAGTAGTGTCATGGTGATCACGGACTGAAGAAACGCGGGTTCGAATCCCGCCTCGGGCATGGATGTATTGGTGATCGACCGTTCACTCATCATCATCATCATCATTATCATCCTCTCACTTCATTAAATAAGGATAAACGCGCGAG